ATCTTTTTCTGCATGAGAAAACAACCGGACCGGGGACCGGCAACGGGATTGCAACCCTCGGTGTTGCTCCCGCGCCTCGCTCAGCCAGTGAGCGGGAACCGGTCTGTATGTGGGATCCGAACCCTCGGGCGGGCCGCGCTTCCCAAGCGGCGCACTATAGCAGTGCACCACCAGGCCGGCCCTATACATGTCTTTTTGAAGAGGCTGCTCTGCAAGCATTCTGCTGGGTGCCGCCGGGAACAGAAAACAGAAAAATGGCACAGCAAGAATATATCAGTTAGGGGTTGCATTTGGCTGCGTATAACAGCAAACCCAGAATAACAGTGGCTCAGACTCTAAAGGGTTCATGAGAAAGCACGCACGGGGACGCTGGTGAGGACTCGCAGCTGGACCACGGGGGAGGCCTCTGTGCTGCCCGCCCACCTTCCCACCGGGCCCACGACAGCTGCTGGGGCTTCGGCTACTGCCTGTTCCACTGCAGACTGGAGGACGTGGGAAGCACAGAAGAGACGTCAGAGACACGGGTTCTTGGATTTCCCGAGGGAGGGATCCCGTCGAGAACTCGCAATAATTTCAAGCTCACACGGCAGCGTCACACTCACACACAGTTTATTGCAAAGTGTAAGTACGGGCAGGAATGTGTCTGAGCGTCCCCACGAGTGAAGAGTGCAGTGGTTTTTCAGGGAGGAGGCTTATATCTTGATTTCTATGAGAGGGAGGGTCTCTAACTTAATTAGGGGAGGAATATACAAGTCAAAGGGGGAGGAAAAGGGGGTTTGCTGCTTTTCGCAAGTGCAAGCTCTTTTTGCTTCCTTGCATGCGCAGTGAGGGGCTCTGTAGGAAAAGCTCAGGTGCGGTCAGTTTTCCCTTAAGTTTGCCCTTTTGGGCCTAGCGCCACTTGTGGAAAATCTACTCTTGGTCATTTGCACCTAGGATCCTTTTTAGTGCGCATATGTTGTGGTCTTCGCGGTTTTGTTTCCTGTGCAGGAAACAGCACGGTTCTGAACAAGGGCAAGCTGATTGACAGTGTGGTTAAGCTGATGTTAACGGGTGTGAGCTCATTATAGGTTCATTAACTGCAAAATGAGGAGGTGGCTAATGTTTGTTCGGCCTGAATATTCATGGGCACCCTCCCTGGGCCGGGTCCCTGTTTTTGTTTTTTTTTTTTTGTTTGTTTGTTTTTTTTTAGTTTTTGCTTTTTCATTTTTAATGAAAAGAAACAGGTAACTTTGCAAAAATCCAATATCCCTTTGATCCAGTATCCTGGATTTTTCTGCTATCAGGTGGACATGCTCTAAACAATAAGGACGCATTTCTGAGCCCTGTTCCAAATATCTGAAAAAGACTTGATGGCATATACAATGATAAAAACACAATCTAAAGGGCATTATCACACCAGGAACACACAGCTGTTTCCTCCTGACCCAGAACAAATATTGAGAGAAAGTCGACATATTTACAAACAAGTTTTAATAATGCTCACAGGAACAGAGTTCATCTCCAAGTAGGAAAACCGCACGTTGTTTTGTTTCATAATGTCAGCCTGTTTTTGGAACTGTCTGCTGGCAAATGGGCAGGCTTCTCTCCGGGAAGCCTTTTCTCATGGGAGGGCGGGGAGGGAAGGTGGTATTTACATCCCACTGTGCACACCTCAGTACCGCCTGTTCATCTTCTGGAACTTCTCATAGTGGTAGTCATCAGTGGGGGCCTTCTCGTTAGCAGGATGTTTGCGGTTAGGAGGGGACCTCTCAGGTTCTGGCTTCTCTGTGTCACCCACTCTTAAGGGCCGGGCTTTGGGCTCTTCTTTGTTTCTCCGTATTGGGGCATTGAGCTCCTCATGATAAAATCTGTTGCGCTGTACATAATTCACAGCCATGTTGATGGGCACAAAGGATGTCTCACCATCTTTTTTCTTGTTCTGCTGCTCTGCCGGGGGACGGGCCTTGGCATCCTCCGTGGAAATGATATTTTTTATTTTAGCATCAGTGCCCAGGTCCACCTCGGGGATGCCGCTCAGCAGCTGGTTGGAAAGCACCTCCTCAGTCTTCTTTGCTGAGGAGACACGGGTATTTTCTGGAAGGTCATAAAGACGGTCCTCCGCATTCTTCGGCTTGACTTTCTGTTCCTCGTGCTCCACAATCCCTGTTCTCTTCTTTAGCTCTGTCTCAATGTACTTCATCATGTCCGTGTCCTCATCCCTNGGGCCTTGGCATCCTCCGTGGAAATGATATTTTTTATTTTAGCATCAGTGCCCAGGTCCACCTCGGGGATGCCGCTCAGCAGCTGGTTGGAAAGCACCTCCTCAGTCTTCTTTGCTGAGGAGACACGGGTATTTTCTGGAAGGTCATAAAGACGGTCCTCCGCATTCTTCAGCTTGACTTTCTGTTCCTCGTGCTCCACAATCCCTGTTCTCTTCTTTAGCTCTGTCTCAATGTACTTCATCATGTCCGTGTCCTCATCCCTGTGGTTGGTTTCTGCAGAAAACGATGTCCCCAGGTGGAGGTCTTCTTCTTCTTCGCTGATCTTATCTTTGCCCCTTTCCTTCAGTTTCTTCATGTCCACCATACCGCCTGTCTTCATCTGAAAGGGATCGTCCACTGGAGTGGTCTCTTCTTGTACCTTCTCTCCCACCAGCAGGGCCACAGCCCTCACCCCATTGGGCCTCTTCCTCAGGTTCTGCACCTCTCGGGTCTCTTCCAGTTTTA